GCTACTTTAAAGCTTCTCTTTTGCTTATAATCTCTTTAGCTGCTTACACATGTATTTCATTAAATAATGTGTTTTGGTTTGCTCTGATTAATTGTGCAGCCCCGCTGTTATGTGATGACAGTGCCAGTGTTAAAACTGATTTTCATGTGTGTTTGTTATAGTTCTGCCTCCACCTGTTCTGCCTCGGTTCGGTCCGCTGTTTGCCAGCCTGGTGAACATACTGCAGTGTGACGTGCTGCTGGGGATTCTGGGAGCTGTGCTGCAGTGGGCGATGGAGCCAAGCGGGGGACACTGGTCTGAGTCCATGCTTCAGAGGGTACGTCTGTGTTTGAGGGACAGCGAGAACTGCCACAAACTGGACCTCTCTTTAATATAAGAGCGTAATAGATTTTTGATAATTAGCATTAACACTTGCCCAATGTATGCTTTTTGAGTACTGTTCACTTGGAAAGTGTTTAAATCGGTGGATTATTCAAAATAGGCATTATTTTGTGGCCATTTAATATTTAAATGATTGTCAATGAATTTCCAGTAAAAGTAACTTTATCATAAACGCTATCTTGACATAAATTTGCTTTTACCATGATGTTAGACATTGTTCTTGCCTCGCACCCAAGTTAGAGCTCAGTATGAACATGTCCTGCAGGTGCTGCATCTCATAGGCATGGGCCTGGTGGAAGAACAGCAGCATCTCATTGGCAGCGCAGAAGATAGTGATACCAACTTCAACTTCACTCTCAAAATCTCCAGTATGTCTTTCTTCTGTCTCACACACACACACACACACACACCTCCCTGATTTGAGCTGATCGATTCTCTTCATTGTAGGACCAGGTGAGGCTCCTGCTAACACTCCCAGTATCTTGGCTCTATTGGAAACCCTGCAGAACGCTCCTCATCTGGAGGTGCACAAGGACATGATCCGCTGGATCCTCAAGGTAAAGCTGATCCAAATCTAATTACAAAGCCACCTGTTACTAGAATGAATGTGTAAATGTCTCCGCTATCCAAGAGGGGGCAGCAAAAAAAAATCATTAGTTTTTTTTGTTTTATTAGTTTATTTTGTTGGTTAATTTATTACTTTTTAATTATTTATTTATTATATTTCTTACATGTTTTTATTTGCACTTGTTTGGCATTTTACAATTTTCCTTTTTAGAATTTTTTTTGTTTGTTTTAGTAGTTTTATTTGTTTTGGTATAATATTTAAATTTGTATTAGTTAAATATATTTATGTATTAATGTATTTATTTGTGTAAGATTATCATGTTATTAATTTTGTTCATTTATTTTAGTGTTTTTTTTTTTAATTTGACCTTTTTTTGTTTCTTTTAGTTTAAAAAAAAATTAATTTCTTGCTGTATTTTTCATTATTTTAAATCTAAACATGAAAAAGGTGTTCATATTTCATATTACTCATGTATCTGCAGACTGTGGCCAACATCAAAACCACACGGGAGTGCACGGCCTGTGCGCCCCCTAGTGACAGCTCAGGGCACAGTCAAGAGGAGGTGAGCATAGGAAGCGTAACACGCTTGCATCATGATCCGGTAAAGTTGCATTGTTGTCTGACTGGATGTATGTGTATGTGCAGACGGTGCGGGATAAAGATAAGGCGGAGCGGAAGAGGAAAGCAGAGATGGCGCGGCTCCGGAGGGAGAAGATCATGGCTCAGATGTCAGAGATGCAAAGACACTTCATCAACGAGAACAAAGAGTTGTTCCAGCAGAGCCTGGAGGAGCTCGACCCCTCCACCTCCTCCACGTTAGAGCACAGGTACACATGCATCCCATCGGAAAATGTCACGGATCAAACATGAGTTTCCTCTAATTTCTCTCTCTTTACTTCTTAGCCCCAGTTCGTGTGATAGTACACTGGTCTGTGTGGGGCCGCGGCGGTGGCGTGCAGGCGGCGGTGAGAGGAGGCAGGTGGTGACGTGTATCCTGTGTCAGGAGGAGCAGGAAATCAGGACTGACGGCAAAGCCATGGTGCTCGCTGCTTTTGTCCAGCGCTCCACAGTCATGTCCAAAAACCGCAAGAGACCTCCACACAACCCAGGCATGTCTTTATATGTGTGTCTTCGGGTCATCATAGCATATAAGTGCACGTTTGCTTTAATGAATGCATTGTGTTTGTGTTGCAGATAAGTATGACCCTCTCTTCATGCACCCTGACCTGTCGTTCGGCACGCACACAGGCAGCTGCGGACACATCATGCACTCGCACTGCTGGCAGAGGTAAGAATCATCATGAAAATATGAGAAACACATGCTTCCATATGCCCAAAAATGTGCTCTTCCTATCAGAGGAGCAAAAGAATGTAACTATAATTGCCTGCTTTTCAGCAGCCTTGGTTTCAGATTTATTTTTCTCATTTATTATTAAATTGTTTCCACCTGTTGTAAGATTTAGATCATCTAGTGCTTAAAATAATTATGACAAAGATTTAACCCTTTAAGAGCATTGTCTTTTGAAGAGTGTTTTTTTTTAGTGTGTTTAGCAGTTGCATAAAAGTGGTACTAAAAAAATGCAGTAAACTCTTAAAACCCCTCTGTTAATACTTAACTAACTAGTCATATAGATTTGTTAGTTATAACTCCACAAGGTCTATTCTCTAACAGTAGTTTACAAAGGCCTGCCTCTTCCCAGAGGTCACTCTTCTGTTATTTTGAGTTATTCTCTAGAAGTGTAGCATACCGTATCAGAAGTGTAAAATTAAGTATTGTATTCTAAGTCATTTCATTGTAGATAAACTATTTAGAATATTTAATTTGGGAATGTAACATGCATCAGCAGTGCCCAACATTCCACTAGTTATAGACATTTTGATCAACAACATTACACGAAAATAAATAGGGTACATTTTGTTTTGAAAATGAATTACGATGTAATAAAACTAATATTTACTAAGTACATTGTTTATTTTATAGTATGTAATTTTGTAATTACAATAATTTTTTTTTATTATTTTATAGTCATATTGCATAAAAATAAGAGTAATAAAAAAAACTATCTATAATTATTTTATGGTTAAGTTGGTTCTTGTAAAGAGTACACCCAAGGGTGAATACCCAGATTTTTCAAGTTTTATTCAATTTAATTTTTTTTCCCAAATCGTTCAAATCTTAAAGGATGGTTAGCACAAAAATTATTCAAAGTTATTTTTTCCAACTTATAAAACTCTTATTTATCTTTTTAGATGCACACCCCTACACAATGACAACAGTGTCAGATTTTTTTTTCCAGTACAGTAAAAAGTGTTGGTGTCGTGTATTTGTTGTTTTAGCATTCTTTTGTTTGGTAACTGTACCCTGCAGGTATTTTGAAGCGGTGCAGGCTAAAGAGCAGCGCAGGCAGCAGAGGCTACGTGTGCACACCAGTTACGACGTGGAGAACGGAGAGTTCTTGTGTCCACTCTGTGAATGTCTGAGTAACACAGTCATTCCTCTGCTGCCTCTTACAAAGACCAGCTGCAGGTACCGCAACAAACACACACTTGACTTTGACCTTCAGCTGCTACTTTTTTCTTTTGTAAATTTTGATTAGCAATTATGACATATAGGCCAACCCAGAATTGAGCATCACCATGATTCCCTTGACAAAACCCAATAGGATTTTTCTATTGACTTTTGGATTATTGCAGAAATTAAGATCTGTGACCAACAAAAGTTTATGATTCTTACACATTAAAAGTGCTCTTTTTCGTGTTATAGCCTATAAAAATGTCATGCCTGCAGCACTCTATTGGTGTAATAAATGTTGTGACCAAACTGTAATATATTTAGCTCTCACAGTGTAAGTAATAGATAATTAGTGTGACCTCTCAGATTAACACTCCACATACAGGTAAATGAACGGAGCGGATTGGCTGATTGTGGACAGTGTTAGTGTAATACTCTCATCTGTAATAAATCGAGCAACCCCTTTGATCCCTTTGTGTGATGAGACTGAAAGCCCCACTCATATGAGCTCAGCACTGCTATTAATACACACCGCCACAGGCTAAGCACCCACTGCGCTTTATACGACGGTGTAGATGGTAAAAGATGTTATGAATGTTTTTCAAAACGCACTTGAACACTCAATGCACTTAACCCTAATTTGTCATTGCACTGTAAGTCATTTGGATAAAGCATCTGCTAAATGACTGCTTAGTAAATCCATAATAATTAGTAATCAATAAGTTAGGCATGCTCACATCTGCTTTAAAGTGCGGTGACATTTATTGTTGTTCTGTGAATTTCCTCGATCGAAATCCAGTCATTTCAATAGGAATCCACACAATCTTGAATTCCATATGAGGTCCCCATAGATTTTGCAACGGGTTCAACTTGAATTTGTTACGTTGATCAGCAGAAAGCTTCTTTGTATGGAAGTGACATTTGCTGAGATGTGCTTCAAACATCGCTTCATTTATGACACTGACCGCGCATCTGTTGCATGATTTTTGTCTTTTTCTATTAAAATATGGGGCATTGGATGGATTTGATTGAGTGTTTGTTTGTGTTTGTTGCAGCTCTGAACAGCCTGATCTGAGCCAGTGGTTAAACATCACCTCTCTGCAGATGAAAGCCATGCTCTCTGCTCACAGGAAGGCCAAGGCTGCAGATGCTGATGGTGTTGTTGATATGGATGGTGTTAATGACTGTCCTCCACCTGATGGCTTCAAACTGGACTACATTCCAAAGTAAAACCACACCAGTGTTTTATAGTTCCACTACGCTAAAGCTTCCTTGTTAAAAATCATCACTAATAAAACGCTTTTCTTTCTGTCAGGAACCCGTACTCAAGCACCATAAAGGAGATGTTGACCACGTTTTAGATTTTGCAACGGGTTCAACTTGAATTTGTTACGTTGATCAGCAGAAAGCTTCTTTGTATGGAAGTGACATTTGCTGAGATGTGCTTCAAACATCGCTTCATTTATGACACTGACCGCGCATCTGTTGCATGATTTTTGTCTTTTTCTATTAAAATATGGGGCATTGGATGGATTTGATTGAGTGTTTGTTTGTGTTTGTTGCAGCTCTGAACAGCCTGATCTGAGCCAGTGGTTAAACATCACCTCTCTGCAGATGAAAGCCATGCTCTCTGCTCACAGGAAGGCCAAGGCTGCAGATGCTGATGGTGTTGTTGATATGGATGGTGTTAATGACTGTCCTCCACCTGATGGCTTCAAACTGGACTACACTCCAAAGTAAAACCACACCAGTGTTTTATAGTTCCACTACGCTAAAGCTTCCTTGTTAAAAATCATCACTAATAAAACGCTTTTCTTTCTGTCAGGAACCCGTACTCGAGCACCATAAAGGAGATGTTGACCACGTTTGGGACAGCATCATATAAAGTGGGTCTTAAAGTGCACCCAAATGAGCAGGACCCCCGCGTGCCAATCATGTGCTGGGGCAGCTGTGCCTACACCATTCAGTCCATAGGTTAGTCCAAGAAAGTGTTGAACTAAAATGTGTAATACTGGTCAGTGAATCAGTGGCAAAACATTTGAAACCATTTCCTCTGATAATGTAAAGAATTAGAATTATCATAAAAACTATCATAGGAAAACCTGGAATTATCAGGGAGTTTCTAAAATTGTGATTATTACCTTCATAATATTTGGGGGTCTGTTTTGATCTGGATACATGTGTGACCCTGGACCACAAAAGCAGTCATATGGTAAAAAAATTTTTTAAATCATCTGAAAGCTGAATAAATATGCTGAGATACAACTATTTGAGAATCTGAGGGTGCAAAAAAAATCTAAGTATTGAGAAAATCGCCTTTAAGGTTGTCCAAATGAAGTTGTGATTATTACCTTCATAATATTTGGGGGTCTGTTTTGATCTGGATACATGTGTGACCCTGGACCACAAAAGCAGTCATATGGTAAAACAATTTTTTAAATCATCTGAAAGCTGAATAAATATGCTGAGATACAACTATTTGAGAATCTGTGGGTGCAAAAAAAATCGAAGTATTGAGAAAATCGCCTTTAAGGTTGTCCAAATGAAGTTCTTAGCCATGCATATTACTTATCAATTTTTTAAAATATATTTACGGTAGGAAATTTACAAAATATCTTCATGGAACATGATCTTTACTTAATATCCTAATGATTTTTGGCATAAAAGAAAAATCAATCATTTTGACCCATACGATGTATTGTTGGCTATTTCTACAAATACACCAGTGTGACTTTTGACTGGTTCTGTGGTCCAGGGTCACATATTTGAAAAAAGGTATAATTTTTAATACAGGAACCAAACTTTGCAAATGAAAAACTTAAAAGGGTCACCTAATGCAAAAACCGATAACTCTGTAAGGTTTTTTTTTTTTTTTTTTCAGAAATGTTTTTGTTTTTATTGCGCATTCCAAGTAATATCAATCAAACTGCAGTTGGGTTGTTTTGATTAAGTAATAATAACTTAAACAAATACAGGTAATTTACAAAATTAAAGTTAATTGAAAGTATGTATTTTTTTACATATTAAAAGTTTGTTTTATAGCAAAAACGGATAACTCCCAACAGTCGTTTTTTGGCAAAAGGAGATAACTCCACATTTCATGTTTTAGAATTTAAAAAAACACTTGTTTAATCTTTGTAATCTCCTCAGATGACAATGTAGATGCCTGACAAACGTTGTTGTTGTTGTGATCATAAACTGGATGTGATTACACGCAATACACAGCGCTTTTTCCTCACCATTGTAACGCGCTGCTTTTGCAAGGCTCCATGAAAACGTTTCAGCTTTTATTTTCCTTTTTTGCCCTGAAGAAGATATCACAGGTTCATCAAGTTCATTGAAATTATCCATCCTCGATCACTTTGTCAGCTTTGACAAAACTCCTCTGAGCTAGCAAGTCTTTTCAAAGTGAAAGTAGCCTTGTCACCTGACCTGAATACAGCGTGCTGATTCGCTAAAATGGGCTTATCGGCTTCTGTTCAAAAACAACAAGGGCGCTTGTCAGCTTCTGCAGTAAAACGTGAACTCGCAATGCCTTGAAAGTGGACAAAACCAGCTTTTTTTGACAAAACGTGTTTAGGGTTCAGATCGCGCTATATGTGGAGAAGAATGCACGGCAATCAGCTCTTTTTTTTTTTTTTTAAGTGGCGTTTATCGGTTTTTGCAAATGAACTCATCATATATAGGTTAGATTTATCTAAAAATATATATTTAGCCTCTTTCTCATGTCTCACATACTTTTGACACTGAATTGTTTATAAGCATGAATATGCATGCATACTGATGAACCATTATAGCTTAAAAATGAATCAGCTTTTGCATCTAAAAGTGAAAATGTATACAACTAAAATGAAAAAAAAAAAATTCAAAAGTAGTATTTATGTTTTGACAAAGGAATATTTAATAATTTCAAAGGAATGTAATTAGGTCCATTGATTTCAGTCCTAATAATAGTAACTTTCAAATGTTATCTTACGTACACATTTGATGTAATGATATATCCAAATATGGATAAATATTGAAAACTATTTGTATTGCTTTACATCAGTGATTTTTTTCCTGTAATTCATGCAAAATTAGACATTTCAGAATAGTATAATTAGTCAAATGTAGTAATGACATGGTAATAACTTGGTAACATTAAAAACTTTGACATTTCTGCCCATTCACTCATTAAAAAGTTATTCAGTTTTAGTTAAAAAATATTAAGTTAAACTTATATTCCATTGAGTCCAAAGGGACCCACGGATGTGCAAAAAATATATATATCATATGTAAATTTTAAATGCTTATTTAATGGGAAAGAATAAATTAAAGCGTATTAAAATTGTCATCTCAAACAGAGAGATTGCTGGTGGATGAAGAGAAGCCTTTGTTTGGAAGTTTACCGTGCAGACAGGTAATCAAACTCATTATGCACGCTATTGAATGTTTATTTGAATTTCTAATGGAAATCAATGAATAGCTGGTCCTATTCAAGTAGCCTCTGAATTCTTTAAATCTTTACTCTGGAGTTTGATTTGTTTGATAACCCAAATGTTTTGTGCATGCAGGATGACTGTTTGAGTTCTCTGACTCGGTTTGGCTCGGCCTGCTGGACTGTCTCCTCTCATGCCACTGTACAGAATCACTTTATTAGGCTCTTAGCAGGTAACAATAAGCGCTACAGTCTCTTACCACAAGTAGTTGTTCGGGCATGAATCAATTATTATGAGAAATGAATGACAACTCCCACCCTCATTCATATGAACTTCTGTGTTGATTCAGCCCTTGTTCCTGATCCTCGGGTGGAGAATACACCTTGTATTCTGGACATAGACATGTTTCACTTGCTGGTAGGTAAAAATTTAACAACTCAGTTTAAGTTAACAAATTGGCAGCATTTCTTCAACATATCTTGTTCACAACTGCACAAAACTGCATGTGTAAAAGAGCCTACTCAGACTCAGCCCGTTGTTTGGGAATGACCTCTGACATCAGTTAACGTGTGTGACAGGTGAGCTTGGTGCTGTCCCATCCAGCGGTTTTCTCTCTGGATTCCTCAGGGCTGAGTGCAGATACTGCACAGCTGCACTTCCTGCATCTCGTCACAGTTGCTCACATAGTTCAGATCCTCCTAACCTCCGTAGCAGGTGAGAGCCTCATCCTTCCCCTTCACAAAGCAGCCACATGTTCATAGAGACTTCATAAATGATTTTGTTGACTCCTGTGCGCCATCAGAGGAGGTGCGGATGGAGCAGGAGAGTGGAGGAGCAGAGAGGGAAGAGGAGGAGAAAGTGTGTATGCTCTACAACACACTCAGGATGCATCTGGGAAGGTGAAAGCACACATACATCTGCCAGCCACAGTGCGACTGAGAACTAGATACTTTTGTCCAATGAAATGCCATTTTGTCTATTAATATGTTGAAGGAATGCACTTATTGTCCATATCACAAAGAATTTTGTGTAAAATGATTTCTAGTAAGCATGATGTGAAACCAGTCTAATCATATGACTCAAATTTCTCGGATTGTTTCACTGTTCTGGGGTCATAGTTTTATTTCAGTTCTGTAAGGAGATCAAAATACAAAAAATGTCTATTTGAAATAAATACTGTTATTTTGAACTTCTATTAATCCTAGAATCCTTAAAGTATTTCCGTTTCCACAAAAATATTAAGCGACATGTCTGTTTTCGACATTGATATTAAGCTAGAGCAGCATATTAGAATTATTTCTGAAGGATCATGTGACACTCCGGTCTGGAGCAATGATGCTGGAAATTCAGCTTTGCATCACAGGAATAAATTAAGTGTTAAAATATAATAAAATTGAAAAGTTATTTTAAAATGACATAATATTTTACAAAATTTTTTACAAATGATTTTAAACATTTTTAATAAATTTAAGTGTAACCTCTTTACAACTAACACATACATGTAACCTCTCTGAGCATAAGAGACTTCTTTCAAAATCTGCCAATGATAATAATAAAATGATTATGATAATATGTGCTGTCTACTATATAAATATTGTCACTGTCAGAGAGCTTTGATTTCAAAATGAAGAATGAAATTGTTTTTTTAGGGGTACTGTTTCACCTCTGCTAGTTTTGTATGACCCTAATCTGAAAGCTGTATGTGTGTTTCAGCGGTCTGCGTGAGGTGAACTCAGGCTGGCATCTGTGGTGCTGTGTGAAAGCTGGAATCCTGCCTTATCTGAGGACAGCTGCTATGTTCTTCCACTATCTCAACGGAGCTCCAGCACCACCCGAGTTACATAGTAAATGACTCAAACATTACACGGATTTTACTGGCTTACTCTCCCATTTGTGGTATCATTTCTAATGCTGACTGTGTGTTCAGCTCTTGGTGTGGGTGAATGGGAGGCTCTGTGTGGATACCTGTGTCTGCCCTCCAACCTGCTCCAGCTCTTCTACAACAACTGGGAGCTCATGGAACCTCTGCTACACGGGTAACCGTAACTATCTAGCAAAGCATCTCTGAAAACTGTGACATAATGATCAGATGTTAGTTTAATGAATTGTGGTGTCATGTGGTGCTCTGCAGGTGGTGCTCTCATCCAGGTGTGCTGCAGGGTCTTCAGAGCAGCGTGGCTCTCATCAGGTCTGTCCTGCTCCTCAACACTCAAGAGTTCACTGCAGCCGATGCTCAAGTGCTCACCATTCTTCCATTTCCTATTTTAGGTTTCCTAGAGAGTCTAATCATCTCATAGAGCTGCCAGGCGACTACAGCGCCCTGATTAACCAGGCCTCCAGCTTCACGTGAGTCACCTCTGTCTTATGAATCAAATGCGATTTAATAGCTCTCTACTGAGTCATACGCTCCTAGTTCTGTGAAGCAAATGATCTATTGATCCTGGTGACATCTAGGTGTCCTAAATCTGGAGGGGACAAGTCTCGCGCTCCTACTCTGTGTCTGGTGTGCGGTGCAATGCTGTGCTCTCAGAGCTACTGCTGTCAGACCGAGCTGGAAGGAGAGGATGTGGGCGCATGTACCGCACACACCTTTGCCTGCGGAGCCGGAGTCGGCATCTTCCTCAGGTTTGTGCATGTGTTGATTAAAATAAAATGAATATAATGGGCAAATTGTGTAAAGGATAAGGTAAAATTATCAATGGGTTACCTTTTTGTGTCTGGGTCCTGATGTATTTTGTGATAATAACCGACTGACTATACATGCATCCCACATTACTTGGCTACTGTGCAAATGAATAAATAATAATAGATTTGAGTTCAAATTATTGAATGTGAGTGGAACAGAAGTGCTAGGAGACACATGCCTAGCTAGTGTTGGGAATGCCTTATTTGACAACATATGCAAGAAGTTTACAGTATGCTAACATCTTCAACAGGTGGGATTGAAATGGATGAAAAAAATGCCAAGTTTGAAGATGTTGTAAAATAGCCGATATAAGCACATCAATTGAATTCTGTATTCAATAAGTCAACACTAGAAGTCTCAATGTGAACATTTTCTTTGTGCGTGTTATTCAAAAACGGAATCTTTGGTCCAAATAGAATCTCCCCAGTCACCCCAGTCACCCACTCACTCACTCCACTCACTCCACCCACTCACTCCCTCACTCCCCTCACTCACTCCACTCACTCCCCCCCCTCACTCACTCCCCCCACTCACTCCCTCCCCTCACTCACTCCACTCACTCCCCCCCCTCACTCACTCCCCCCACTCACTCCCTCCCCTCACTCACTCCACTCACTCCCCCCCCTCACTCACTCCCCCCACTCACTCCCTCCCCTCACTCACTCCACTCACTCCCCCCCCTCACTCACTCCCCCCACTCACTCCCTCCCCTCACTCACTCCACTCACTCCCCCCCCTCACTCACTCCCCCCACTCACTCCCTCCCCTCACTCACTCCACTCACTCCCCCCCCTCACTCACTCCCCCCACTCACTCCCTCCCCTCACTCACTCCACTCACTCCCCCCCCTCACTCACTCCCCCCACTCACTCCCTCCCCTCACTCACTCCACTCACTCCCCCCCCTCACTCACTCCCCCCACTCACTCCCTCCCCTCACTCACTCCACTCACTCCCCCCCCTCACTCACTCCCCCCACTCACTCCCTCCCCTCACTCACTCCACTCACTCCCCCCCCTCACTCACTCCCCCCACTCACTCCCTCCCCTCACTCACTCCACTCACTCCCCCCCCTCACTCACTCCCCCCACTCACTCCCTCCCCTCACTCACTCCACTCACTCACCTCACTCACTCCACTCACTCCACTCACTCACTCACTCCACTCCACTCCACTCACCTCACTCCACTCACTCCACTCACTCACTCCACCCACTCACTCACTCACCTCACTCACTCCACTCACTCACTCACTCCACTCACCTCACTCACTCCACTCCACTCCACTCACTTCACCTCACTCACTCCACTCACTCCACTCACTCACTCCACCCACTCACTCCACTCCACTCCACTCACCTCACTCACTCCACTCCACTCCACTCACTTCACCTCACTCACTCCACTCACTCCACTCACTCACTCCACCCACTCACTCCACTCCACTCCACTCACCTCACTCACTCCACTCCACTCCACTCACTTCACCTCACTCACTCCACTCACTCCACTCACTCACTCCACCCACTCACTCCACTCCACTCCACTCACCTCACTCACTCCACTCCACTCCACTCACTTCACCTCACTCACTCCACTCACTCCACTCACTCACTCCACCCACTCACTCCACTCCACTCCACTCACCTCACTCACTCCACTCCACTCCACTCACTTCACCTCACTCACTCCACTCACTCCACTCACTCACTCCACCCACTCACTCCACTCCACTCCACTCACCTCACTCACTCCACTCCACTCCACTCACTTCACCTCACTCACTCCACTCACTCCACTCACTCACTCCACCCACTCACTCCACTCCACTCCACTCACCTCACTCACTCCACTCCACTCCACTCACTTCACCTCACTCACTCCACTCACTCCACTCACTCACTCCACCCACTCACTCCACTCCACTCCACTCACCTCACTCACTCCACTCCACTCCACTCACTTCACCTCACTCACTCCACTCACTCCACTCACTCACTCCACCCACTCACTCCACTCCACTCCACTCACCTCACTCACTCCACTCCACTCCACTCACTTCACCTCACTCACTCCACTCACTCCACTCACTCACTCCACCCACTCACTCCACTCCACTCCACTCACCTCACTCACTCCACTCCACTCCACTCACTTCACCTCACTCACTCCACTCACTCCACTCACTCACTCCACCCACTCACTCCACTCCACTCCACTCACCTCACTCACTCCACTCCACTCCACTCACTTCACCTCACTCACTCCACTCACTCCACTCACTCACTCCACCCACTCACTCCACTCCACTCCACTCACCTCACTCACTCCACTCCACTCCACTCACTTCACCTCACTCACTCCACTCACTCCACTCACTCACTCCACCCACTCACTCCACTCCACTCCACTCACCTCACTCACTCCACTCCACTCCACTCACTTCACCTCACTCACTCCACTCACTCCACTCACTCACTCCACCCACTCACTCCACTCCACTCCACTCACCTCACTCACTCCACTCCACTCCACTCACTTCACCTCACTCACTCCACTCACTCCACTCACTCACTCCACCCACTCACTCCACTCCACTCCACTCACCTCACTCACTCCACTCCACTCCACTCACTTCACCTCACTCACTCCACTCACTCCACTCACTCACTCCACCCACTCACTCCACTCCACTCCACTCACCTCACTCACTCCACTCCACTCCACTCACTTCACCTCACTCACTCCACTCACTCCACTCACTCACTCCACCCACTCACTCCACTCCACTCCACTCACCTCACTCACTCCACTCCACTCCACTCACTTCACCTCACTCACTCCACTCACTCCACTCACTCACTCCACCCACTCACTCCACTCCACTCCACTCACCTCACTCACTCCACTCCACTCCACTCACTTCACCTCACTCACTCCACTCACTCCACTCACTCACTCCACCCACTCACTCCACTCCACTCCACTCACCTCACTCACTCCACTCCACTCCACTCACTTCACCTCACTCACTCCACTCACTCCACTCACTCACTCCACCCACTCACTCCACTCCACTCCACTCACCTCACTCACTCCACTCCACTCCACTCACTTCACCTCACTCACTCCACTCACTCCACTCACTCCACTCACCTCACTCACCCCACTCACTCCACTCCACTCACCTCACTCACCCCACTCACTCCACTCACCTCACTCCACTCCACTCCACTCCACCCACTCACTCACTCCACTCCACTCACCTCACTCACCTCACTCACTCCACTCACCTCACTCACTCCACTCACCTCACTCACTCCACTCCACTCCACTCACTCCACTCCACTTCACTCACTCACTCACTCACTCACTCACTCAAAGTAGTACAGTAGGTTGTGAACATTTTCACATTAGGTGCTTCCAAAATCATGCCTTAGTAAGTACTACATTTGACACGGAACAAATTTTGCAACCGTTGTTTAAAAAAAGTATAGTAGTAGTAGGTCATCTGGTCATCTTTTTACCTACTGTTTTATGAATACCATGAATTTGAACATACTACTTATTTCACATACTGTTTTTATATGTAGTCTTCAAACAAAAATAGTCATTAATTCTTCTCTCTTTGGCCCAAATAAATTAAGCTCATGAGAAATTTGAATCGAGGATTGAATTAGGAAAAACTTGAATAAATGACATTTTTCATTTTTGGGTGAACTATCCATTTAACAGTAGTGAAAAGGGAGCAACTTATAAAAAATTATAGTTGTTCATATATAATATATATCATTTATAATTTTTAAAAAAGAAGCAGAATAAGACACATACAAAAGATACAAATTAAAGAAATTTTTCAGATGCAGTAGGTTTACTTAACATTTATTTAACATCTTTTGTTGGTAAACATTAATGACACGGATAGGTACTTAATTAGGAATGCTGTCCCTTTAAGACGGAAAGCATGCATGTAATACTGACACACTAATGTAATACTGAGGCCATTGTTTCAGATCGCTAGTGTGCATTTTGGTAGCCTATCCATCCACTGCGGCTGCCATACTGAGACTAGATATGCAAACGCCCTTTATCCGATAAAAATTAATCTGTTAGGCCATGTTAGCTCACGTCCATTGAGTAACATTTATAGATACAACCTTTGATTATAATAATGTATTAGTCATGTTGTAATCAGCATTAACTACAGGTAATAAATGCTTTAAAAGTATTTTTCATTGTAAGTTTGTTTACTAATGTAGGTAACTAATGTTAACAAATCAAACCTTTTTGTAAAGTGTTACCAAATTTACTATCAATGTAATTCCTACACCAGTTCTTTTCAAAGCAGGCTTTATTTATTGAGCATTGGTCATATTGCTGTTGCTGCTGTTTCATAAATGCATTACAGTTACAGTGGTGTTAGCATTGATTATTTTAGACAATCACTTTGTCATGCTCTTCAACTGTGGTCAAATCACTGCATCTCAACCTTGTGGATTTTTGCGTTGTTGTTGTCAGAAGGGTTTCATTTGTATGCATTTCTGTCAGGGTGCGGGAAAGTCAGGTCCTGTTCCTGGCTGGCAAAACTAAGGGCTGTTTTTATGCTCCCCCATACCTGGACGACTATGGGGAAACCGACCAAGGGCTAAGGTACGCCTCTATCTCTGATATTTCACGCATATGCTTATTTCTGACCGTCGTGTGAGATCAAGTGTTGTGTTTTGTCATTTTTTTAGACGGGGAAACCCATTACACTTGTGCCAAGAGCGCTACAGGAAGATCCAGAAGCTGTGGCGCCAACACAGCATCACAGAGGAGATCGGCCATGCTCAGGAGGCCAATCAGACTTTGGTGGGCATCGACTGGCAGCACCTGTGAAGTTACGTGATGCTTTCTCACACCTTCGCCCACCCTTAATACATAAGGGGACCCGCACAGCAGAGCTAGAGGTTGCCAAGGTGTCACCATGGCCTCTTGCTCTTCCTCCACCCCTTTCTCCATCTTTCTGACAGTGGATGAATGCATGACTTTCGTTTTTTTTTTTTTTTGGTGGGAGATTTTTCTCTTCCCATTTTCTTTTAAATATGATATAAATACATATTTAAAAAGACATATAGCCAAGGTATTGAACCCAAACAATATGGGTTCCTTCGCTACACCGATATTCTTCATAGGAATGCTATTTAATTTCTTCTCCAAGTAATATTCAATTACATTCGAGGTATTTTGTTTAAGTATATAGGTTTCGCAAGACAGTTCTCTTATCGCTTGGGAATTGACCGGTGGTGCTGCCCTTCAAGTAATACTTCAAATACTCTGCATCCTCTCTGCCCCCGTCATCTCGAATGCTGCAGTACACTTGTTAAGGCCACCTGATTAACGTTCTCATGTTCATACAATACAAGCCAACGCGGGGAAGATACGGGAGCACATGAATATGTCCTTGAATGCCTGGTTTCTGTTTGTCTGGGATGTGTATGTGTTTGCGCGAGTGAGTTTTTACGTACAGGTGTTTAGTTGGTATGTTTCTAATATGATGGATTTCTAAGGTGGTCCATTTTTATGACCGTTTGTTTCTCGTTTTTTTGTGGTGCGTATTATTTGTGTTTCTCTTGCGGCTGTGTGTTGTATGCGAATCATGCTTTCCACGAACTGAACATGAATTCCACTCTTAAACATGATTTTGACGTGTGTGCCGCGTGTTGTGATTTTGGACATTGTTTCTTGATACTGCTGCACATTTTCTCAGCAGTAATGGATGCAGAATTGCATATCCTTAATTCGTTTTCGACTTTGGTCCGCTTTAGACTGTTGTTTTTTTCTTTATAGTGGCCTTGGCTTGGGGCTTTAGTCCAAATCAAAATTTTTATTTGTCAGTGACGCAGAAACGCATTGAATCACACCGTTGCTTCTTTCAGAAACAAGTTTTCATGTCTCGCGCAATTCAGATGAAAAGCTTGTTTCTAATGCGGTGGGCAAATTTCCTGAGACACTTCCAGTGGCTGCAGCAGTGTATTACATCACAAACTGACTTGTTAATATGTGAATTCTTGTATAAATGGGTACATTGTACTATATTGTAAAACATTAATGAAATAAAAAAGAGAAAAAAACTTGCATTAAATGTATTGATGAATGAGCTGATTACCCATCAGTGTTTTTATGCTGTAAAGTAACTGTTCTGTGTGTTCCAGAACAGGTAGGCTTAGTGGCCTCATGCAAGCTAATGTGTGACCCATTTTGCTGGCTACAATTCTTCTTAACTGTGCTCCAGTTCTATCCAAATCTCTTGTTCATCCAGGTACGCTGCAATAAAGAGGATTAGATCTGTCCAGCTCACTGACTACATAGAGTTGCGGAGTCTTAGACCAGGTTTTGACTAAGTCAGTTACTCAAAAGTAATTGTGTTCGAACTGAAACTAAATTGTGAACTACTGAATTAATTTTTGGTGGTATAATGGTTTATTCTGGTTATCGTCTCTGCGTATATTGTATTGCCAAGTCTGTGGTTTTCCCGCGGAATTGAGCTACTTTAACACGGTTGCCGCGGGGGTTGTTTTTCATGTCCGCAGGTTGAGGAGACCCCATTAATGTGATATTTAGCCCCTTGAATGCGAATTTTACCAAGGTAAACCTGCCAAAAAAACTTGTATTTTACCCCCCGAAACGCGATTGGGCTAGTTTTGAGTAGCAACTGGGCGGATTTTGTTGTGAAAACCTGGCAAACCTGTCTGGAAGAGAATGAAAAAGGTGAGCAGGTGAACAGATAACCGCTCTACCGACCTTATACTCTTTTCCTTTTTATTTTCCTGTTTTTGTTTGTGACCTAAGTTGAATGATTATTTGTATGCATTCTCTCACTCCATGTATATGGACGAGTGTGACGACCATGTTTAAGTCGTTTTATTAAACCCGGGGAAAATACGCCAGCTCTCACCTCACCTGCATCATCTCCTCGAGCTCTACAGGTTTTTCTCTCTGGGCAGCAACATTTCAACTCTGTGTTACCTTATGCATATCACAATTTAACTTGAAAACCAATAGACTAGTAATGATCTTACATCCAGTACCTATTCCTCACAAAACGTAACATCTTGGTAGAATGTAAATTGGGTAACATTGCATTTCAGTCAAATATAATGCACGCTGTATGCCAAACCTGCGGCAACAGTTTAAATGTTGCCCAATTACGCAGAAAAAACAACTTTGGACTTGGCTACTACTCGATTCGCTTCCACGCTTTCAGTTGTGTAACGATTTTGCATGACCGTTAGTGTAGTAGCCTACGGTTAATCGGCTGGGGAAACATTTGTTCCTCTGTGTTGTTATAGTTAGATGTGTTGTGAACTTCCATATTCTCATAGAATAGCATTTAACGTTGCATCTTTAGTCTCGTTTAATCTCATGCTTAAAGAAATTTACTGATGAAGAATGTTCGCCATTCAAAATCTACCGATGACAATGACGCCGCTGCTCCTGTATTGGGCCGTTTTCCCGCATTATGTGTTTTGACTTTCTTGGCTGAATAGCGAGATAGAAAAATGTTGTGTAACGATTTTGCATGACCGTTAGTGTAGTAGCCTACGGTTAATCGGCTGGGGAAAAAATTCGTTCCTCTGTGTTGTTATAGTTAGTTGTGTTGTGAACTTCCATATTCTCATAGAATATCATTTAACGTTGCATCTTTAGTCTCGTTTAATCTCATGCTTAAAGAAATGTACTGATAAAGAATGTTCGCCATTCAAAATCTACCGATGACAATGACGCCGCTGCTCCTGTATTGGGCCGTTTTCCCGCATTATGTGTTTTGACTTTCTTGGCTGAATAGCGAGATAGAAAAAATGAAATGCTGGCTGCAGCTGACAAAGGTCATTTCATTTATGCAGATTATAATTTAAGATTGTGAAGGTGAAGGTCTACCTAAAACTGACACGGTTCCTTTGCTACCCGTCGAACACTGTCGGTTAGTTCAGAAAATTGACACAAACGGTTGCGTGTGTGTCATAAATCTTTTGGGTCGCTTTTGGTGTTAATCTTGGGAAGTTCAAGAACAACTTCTTGTACAAGAGACTGGGGTGCTCTCAATGCTCCAGCAGTGCTTGTTTTCTGCTCCTGTGTGAGACGCACCTGTCCCAGAGCTTCATCTGAGGTAAGCTGCTCCACAAAGCTGATTAGCTGCTCTTATCCAGCCAATAACGGTTTATGGACTTCAGGGCTGGAGAAAATACCAGATGACACATGTCCTGTTAGCGCTCACTACCTGTACCCAAAGTTAGACATTTTCACCCTAATTAATTTTCATTTTACTTAACTTTAATATTAAGTTAGTATTAGTAACACTGTCGGTTAGTTCAGAAAATTGACACAAACGGTTGCGTGTGTCATAAATCTTTTGGGTCGCTTTTGGTGTTAATCTTGGGAAGTTCAAGAACAACTCTTGTACAAGAGACTGGGGTGCTCTCAATGCTCCAGCAGTGCTTGTTTTCTGCTCCTGTGTGAGACGCACCTGTCCCAGAGCTTCATCTGAGGTAAGCTGCTCCACAAAGCTGATTAGCTGCTCTTATCCAGCCAGTAACTGTTTATGGACTTCAGGGCTGGAGAAAATACCAGATGACACATGTCCTGTTAGCGCTCACTACCTGTACCCAAAGTTAGACATTTTCACCCTAATTAATTTTCATTTTACTTAACTTTAATATTAAGTTAGTATTAGTGTTAAGGGTAACACTTTGCCATCTTTGCATTAAAAATTACATAACTGAGCGAATGACACTTTGTCATAAACGGGCATAAAAACCTTCATGTTCATGACGTGTCATGTCATGATTACGAAGGTGTCGTGTCAGTCTTATGCACACCCCTTCAAGTAAAGTGTAACCGTGTTAAGTATTAATTACTATCAAATTAAGTCCATTTCTTCTGGATGGATGGATTGATTTGACTATTGAGTATTTGTGTGGAATTATGATGAAAACAAAGTCTCAATGCAAAAAAATAAACCGTTCTTAAAATAAAATAAAATTAGGCATCTTGATTGGGTTTTTAATTGTCCATTCTAGACAGGTTTCGTGACATTTACGTATGCATATTAGAGTGCTACCATTGGGTTCCCAAACTCCATTCATTTTCTCCAAACTGGAAAATAATGTTTTAACAAAAATTTGAATGAGAGGAATAGTTGACCCAAAAAGGAAAAATTGGTCATTTACTCACACCTCCTGTCGTCCAAACCAATATAAGTTTCGTTCTTATGTTGAACACAAAAGAAGATATTTTGAAGAACCAAACAGTTGTTGGTCCCCACTGACTTCCACAGTAGGAAAAGAAATGCTATGGAAGTCAATGGGAACCTTCAACTGATTGATTACCAGCATTCTTCAAAATATCTTGTATGTTCAACATAAGAAAGAAATTCATACAGGTTTGGAACAACACGAGGGTGAGTAAATGATGACACAATTTCCATTTTTGGGTGAACTATCCCTTTAAAGATGCTGATATATGCATTTGTTGACGACATCTGTCACTTTTTTTTAACAGTGGAATTGGTTATGTTAAATAATAAAATATATAAATGTTGCTTTGCACAAATTTCGTGTCAGTCTCCCTACGCTCTCAAAATATATAAATGTAAAGAGGTCATTGAAAAGCAGCGACTGTAATGTGGCATTCTGCACTTCATCAGACAGAATGTTTCTAAATAATACATATTCCCTTATACATATTTATACATGTTAACTAAAATATTAATCTTGAAAAACATTTGTGTTAATGTTTTTGTCCAAAGCAAATTTCGTGTCAGTCTCCCTACGCTCTCAAAATATATAAATGTAAAGAGGTCATTGAAAAGCAGCGACTGTAATGTGGCATTCTGCACTTCATCAGACAATGTTTCTAAATAATACATATTCCCTTATACATATTTATACATGTTAACTAAAATATTAATCTTGAAAAACATTTGTGTTAATGTTTTTGTCCAAATGTATTCTGAGGATGGGTATTCAGCTGTTCTGAGCAGGACAAAAGCCTCATTTAGAGAAATCCATTTCCTTCTCTTCATCCAATCAGGTAAAGCTGTGTCCCGCTGGGCCTCTGCTGTCCAAACATTACCTTACCCCACTTTCACCCCTCATATGTAAGTCTTTTAAACACTAAAGTAGATACCAGTAAAACAGAAGCAAAGAGTCACATCTGTTCAAGGCAAGGTGTGTGTTAGGAACCGTGAGTACGCAGATATATAGTAATATCGCGAAAAATAACTGACGGACACTGAATCTAATTAAACCTCTTTATCTCACAAATGGAGTTTCCTACATGATCCACTCAATCCACAAAAACTGACATAGGTCAAATATACAGAAAGAGTTGCCTGTGAAAATTAAGAATTCACACAAATGATATGAAAAAAAAAGAAAGAATACAACTGATTGGGTTGTCTGACTTAGATTAACAAATCACACACAACTGACTAAAATCTTTTACAAGTTACTGACATAGGTCAAATATACAGAAAGAGTTGCCTGTGAAAATTAAGAATTCACACAAATGATATGAAAAAAAAGAAAGAATACAACTGATTGGGTTGTCTGACTTAGATTAACAAATCACACACAACTGACTAAAATCTTTTACAAGTTAATTGTCCCGCAACTATGCCCAACAGAGCACTGAAGTTGAAGCACAAAGCCTGATTGTTAGGCAGATATTTAACCCGAGAACTACACACATTAATTGGTGAACATGTTGAGTACGATATTCTGTTGTTACAGAATAGTTTCCCCATTGTTACAGAGTTCTGCTCTCCAGTAGATCACCATCAACATGCTTTTGAAAATCGTCAGACAACCTAAGGCCTGTTAAAGGCAGCGTTATGTAAAAAAGCAAGGTGTGCCACTGTTTCCATCCCTTTAAGGTCTGGGAGGTGACTGAACGTTTACAAAAACACATTTTCCTCAGCTGCCGGTTAAAAGCTGCCGTGTGACCCCTTCCTGAAAAGTGATTTAATAGCGCCTGATGGCGTTATGGTGAAATGTGTTATTGTATGTGTGAGGCTGTCGGGTTAAACATCCGCTTAACCAATGAACTGGAAATATAAGGATCAAACTTTATACTGCTACAGACGGACGTGGACAGTGATGCTTATTTGGTCGGAATATCAGATATGGTTAGATGATAATATCAGAACATTTACAGATATATTTCATTCTTAAAATATTAAAAAATAAACTTACATTTTATTTGTATTTACATTGTAGTGTGTACATTCACATCAATTGGAATCTCAATAAAATGCAGGTGTACTGATCCCATATGTATGCATATAAGAGAGAACATTTTAATCAACCTTTCATGCATTCCTTCTCCCAAAGGTGGGAGTGGCCACAGATATGATGGGGTGGGAGGGGGCATGACTCTCTCCGCTTTATGTGGGAGCCGCTTCTGCATCTCCCTCCTGTACCTGGTTGCCTTTAAACAGCGACATGATCTTCGTCATGATGTCAGAAAGTGTCTCCTTCACACTCTTTTCCAGCAGCCATCCCTCACTTTCGCTCTCAGGATTCTCTGGGTCTGCCAGGGTTTCCAGTGAGGTGCTCAGGTACTGCAAACCAACAGTTTCGACAGCCTGTGGCAAACAATTCAGATGAACTTAAATTCATTTCACAGTAGAACTAAACATGCTTCACAAATATATGTTTCTATTTGGAAGTGATTACGTCTTTGGAATATATATATAGGCCCACAAGAGGGTTTTCTTAGGTTAATGAATGTCTAGAAATTCCACACATGCTCAATACAGCATCATTGTTGTTGCTTCTGATGTTTTGACCCACATGAGTTCCAGGAAATATCCAGTTTGGCAACAAGATCTTAGGACTTACACCTTCCGTTCAAGCTAAGGATAACCCTCTTGGACTACCTTTTGTTTTTTGCACATTAGGTGTTGTCACATTATGCAATCAATAACAGATTGAAGGTTTGCTGTGCCCATCTACTAAACTGTGTATGCATGAATATATAGTTTCAGTGTATTTGGAGGTAGGAGTAGTAATGTAGACAAGTTCTGTTAAAGGAAAATGTGAATATGCCAAGTTCTTGTTATTTGTAAACTTCTCACTTGCTTGTCACCTATATCTTGTCATGCCATCAACACAAATTGTTAATCAAATCAATTAAGCAGATAATTAATCTGATGCTTTCAGACCTATTTATATTACTCTTTACGCACCAACTGACCTAATAATCTAGCGGCTCACTTTATAATCTAGCAGCACACCCGTTATCCACCAAGAGTGTAATCTAGTGACAAAGTCAAATGCCATGAGGTAGCGGTGTTCAACTTTGGATTCCATTCCCTCTCACCCACCCACCTGCATAATAATGAACAGCAGCACAAAAGCACCAATACTGTTCATCATGCCCCCATAGTAGGACACCAGGGCCTCACGGCAGCCCCTGGTCCAGATGTTTAGGTCCTCAGTGTGGTGGTCGTAGCTGTAGTGAGCGGAGTTGTTGGTCAGGTGATGTTGGATACAAGGGCGAGGAGAGCCAGGGTTGCAACAGCTGAAGGGAACGCTTTCCATCAAGTATTTGCCTTCCACGTTGCTCTGGACACGACTAAGAAATTGCAAAGATTGAACTGTCAGACAGATATTTTAATTATATTGACTGGGACATATTCTTGGTTGTGGCAATTAAGATTTCAGAAGTGGCAGGCTTCGAAACATGACTCAACAAATTTGTTTATCCATATTAACTTTGAGACTCAACTTTGAGAGCTGAGGACTCCATTCTGATAATAAGAAGGTCACCTCTTTTAAATTAGATGGGAGGTAAACATTGAGGCCATCTCCATGGAAGGTAATAGATTGCACAATGTTATGATTTGTGTGGAAGGTAAGCTTTAAAGGACTTGGGAATAGGATCCTGACAGGTTATCTAATCCATGGACCCATGTGCCCCCTTTAACCCATTCCCTCTTTATAAAACCCACCAGCCAGGTATCTACTTATGAATCTCTCAAAACAAACTCTGAAATTGGATTCCACTTGCATTCAACAACAGTTTTCAGGGGATCTGCTTTGAGACTTTGAAAACATTGTTTCATTAGAACATTTGTGCTATTTTATGTCTTGGTTATCATCAAATGATTACATAATAAAGTGTCTTTTGGGCTACACTTCCTGATGAGCAGAGTAAAATATGCATCAACTGATCTCTATCCATTTATGTGCCTTACTTTCTTAAACAAGCTTAAACTTCCTCAAAATCCAGTGAATATCAGGCAGGTTCAATGACTGATACCTTTTGAATTAGACTACATCTATGGTAACAGTTAATATTTTACACATGTTACTATGATAATGAAACACTGGAATTCAGATGTCACAAGCCAACAGATGAAAGAGAAAATGTATATAAATTATCCAGAATCTCTTCCACTTAGATCCCACCTCTTATACACATTTCCACTAGTACTCAGTACTAAAGTCAGTACTCACCCTTTAACCTCATCATTGCTAAAGTCCAGGTAGCGGTTGCTTATCCACTGGATCTCAAACCAGTCCTTGTAGTTGTTGTTGCCACAGCAGCGGAACTCAATCTGTGTCATATCTAGGGTTCTCTTCATGAAGCATCGTCCTGGCGTGTCTGTATCTTTGTAGTACTTCATTCCATTCTTCAGGCCTTCAGCCAGGGCGAAATGCAGAGAGATCTGCATCAAGAAACACAGCAGAGCCATGACAAAAAGGGCGATGCAGAAAACCACACATCCACTCATGTAGGTCTTCAACATTGGTTTCCACTTGGTGAACTTGATTGTGTCAAGGGAGTCATGGCACACTTTGCCCCCCAAAGCGTTGATAACACAGGCCACAAGTCCCACCAGAATGAGCAGGTTGGGCACAAAATGGCTCTCGTTGTTATCCATCATCTCGCTTCTTTTGCGCAGCTCGATCTTGAAGAAAATCCCCATGCTGAAGATGAGGATCCCAGCCATGACAGAGAGCCAGTACAGGAACCACAGTCCTTGGGCCAGCTTGACCCGCTTGGCCAAGTCAAATTTTAAAGGCATCAAAGCCATGTTTTTGTTCTCGGTGATTAATGAGTCTAAACAATATATTCAGAGTTATTCTTCTTTAGTATGATTAATTTGTTTCAAAGGTACGATTCAAGTTGTCCTATGATTCAACTTGTCTTTCCCTTGTTGAAATTCTTGAAGACCATGAACAGAAACGTAATCCAGAAGCTTAGTTTAGTAATCCGTCATCAAGCGTGGAACATGCAGTAGCAAGAATTCCCCTTTCCATATCCATTCTGACCACCAACAATTCAAGAAAGTCCATGCTGTTGGCAACCAGAGGCCTTTTCCTCTGGGATTTCACATAAATCCACCCAAATGGACCAACTGGAGGGCTATGTGGCTTTTCCTGATGGTTCCCTTCCCTGCAAAAGAGGGTGGCCGGCTAAGGAGCTGTGTGATTGTAGAATCAAGTTCCTCTACGTCATCCTAAAACCCACTAATCAGCGCTGATCCCATTTGCAGATGAGCTGAGGACTCTAATCCTTTATCTTACTTTGTAACTGGTTAGTTACTTTAGCATCAGTTTCCTCTTTTACTTGCTGGTATTGCCTGGCTCTGGGGTATCTCTGGGTAGTCTTCAGACCGAATTATTGTTGTCTTATTTCACAAGAATTGGAAGTTACATCATGCGTTGGTGGTCTGCGTATATTATATTAGTATGCTCAATTCACAAATAACACATTTAGATATGTCTACAAGGGTAATTTCTGCCACTTTATTTTAGAAGAACTTTGAATAACTTATATAATAATCATACATTTTATCATCAAATACGCAATTTTTTAAAAATCCACTTTGCTGAAATACTACAGGGGGCACATTTAATGGGCATGATACTGTACTTCTGCTAAATGTAAGCTAACCAAATCTATTGCAAGAGTAGTAGAGATCAGGGTAGAAGATTGTATCAAAGAATTTACCTGGCCCTCAGACAGGCCAGGTAAACCTGACTGATCCTAATGTTTATCCTAACTCCACACAAAGTTGTACAGGTCTCCTAAGATTTTTATCGCCCATAATTGTAAATGAACAATCCTTATCCTTGGTCAAGCCTCTTGTAGAAACTTTAAAGCTATGGACACAAGCATCCCTTCTTCCCTTAGAGGTGATTTTTACATGATGAACAATGATTAAGCCACATTATTGATGTCAGTAGTTTGCTAATTTTTATTCCTCACCAATTCATGGGAAGACAGGAGCTTCCAGTTGTAAAACCCATCCAGACAGATTTTGCCCCCAAGTCAATCTGATGTACTTTATCAAAGAGCAATCAGCTCATTTGACAGTTGCCGTGAAGAGGAAATCAATGTTCTGTGCTTGTAACTAACCCTATTTGTAGCAATCACAAGCTCTTATAATTAGTAGTGAACTTTAAGTCCTTTGCCATTTTGTGTAAGCCTAATCAAATACCTAAACATTCTGGCTCAGCGGCAGTAAGTGACGATTAAGACTTTTGGTGGATTGACCCCAAGTCTCTTGTA